ACTGTGCTCCCAGGGCCCACTGTGCTCCCAGGGCCCCGCTGTGCTCCCAGGGCCCACTGTGCACCCAGGGCCCCTCTGTGCTCCCAGGGCCTGCTGTGCACCAGGAGGTCCAGCAGCAGAACCCTTTCTTTAAGTCCGAGTGGCATCTCTGGGCACTTGTTAGAAAAGCAGATATGGGCGTGCTCCCGGCCGCTGGATCCGGAGCTCTGGGGTGGCTCCCGCCGTCTGTCTCCCAGGCCTCCAGGGCGCTGCCATGCCAGCCTGAGTGTGAGAACCGCCACCTAAAAACTAGCCTTGTCGAAAGGCCAAGGCGTGTGATTGAACTATGTCTGAGGAGGAAGAGGGGGAGCCCAGGCCTAGGGTTACCAGGCGGGTGGAGTTCCTGGGACACAGTACTGACAGAGCTGAAACCAGGAAAGTCCCAGAAAACTAGACACATTGGCCACCGGCCAGCCCCCTTCTTTACCCATCCCTCCAACTGTGGCCAGGTCCCAGGTGTGGTACCTGACCTTGGGCTTCTGCATCAAAAGGGAACAGCACTGCCGGGCCTGCGTGGCTCAGTGGTTGAGTGTTGACCTTTGAACCAGGAGGTCATGGTCTGATTTCCTGGTCAGGGCCCATCCCCTGGTTGCAGGCTCGCTCGATCCCCAGTGTGGGGCACGCAGGAGGCAGCCGATCAGTGATTCTCTCTCATCATTGATTCTCTCTCATCATTGATGTTTCTATCTCTCTCTTTCTCTCTGAAATTTTAAAAAAAAACAAAACAAAAACCACAGCCCAGAACCTGCACATACGCTTCTTTTTCTACCTTGTCTGCTGGGACACCGTTGCCCGACCTCCCGGCTGCCAGAGGCATTGGGAAAGGTTGGCTTTACTTGGGTGGTCATGTGCTCAATGTAGAGAACAGTATTGGGGGCAACTATCCATTTTTGCTCTTGTATTTACATGATCAACTGCTGTTTTTTCAATAGTCAACATAGAAATTCTATATAGAAAATATTATTTCCAAGTAGAGAATCATATTATTTGAAAGCAAGGACAGACGGCACCTCCCTCTAATGTTTATGCACGTGGTCCCTTTTCTAGTTCTAGGCTTTGGTAATGACTCGGTTACCATTTGAATGAGAGCAATGGTGATAGATGATTTTGTCATTCACCCGCCTTTCATGGAAACACACAAAGTATTACTATTAACCCTAAGTTTACTAAGAAGTCATCTTAGTTGAATGTTTTCATTAAAAAAAAATAAAGTCCTGAAGAGGTCAAGTGAACTGCAGAGACTTTAAGTAGAAGAATTAATATTTCATAAAAGGAAACAACATCCACTCCAGAGCTTCTTGGGGCTCAAAACCAAGACTGAGCAGGAGCCCCCAAGCTCCCAGGTGTGCTGGACACGGACACCTTGTGGAACCCTAGGACCCTGGGGACTCAGCTTTTGGAGCAAGATACAAACTCGGGCCCCTTCCAGCTCAGGCTCTGGCTCTCAGCGCCAGCGTCCCCCATCTGGTTCTCCCTTCCGCCTCACAGGCCCTGAGGCAGAGGCAAAGGGGGCCAGGGAGTGGCCATTAGCACCAAGCCGTGACCATGCCATGCCCGTGACCAAGCCTGTGCCTGCCCACCTCAGCCTGCAGGACCAGGAAGGGCCTCGCAGCCGCAGGAGGATGCTGAGCTTCCGGGGCTGTGTGGCCCTCCAGCCAGAGGACAGGCCCTTGGTTTTGGTGGTCTCACTGGGGCCCGCTGCACCCTCCTCCCAGCCTGGTCTCCATCTGCCCACCGAGCACCGAGCACATACGGGGCTCTCCCTGCCCTCCCGCCTCCCGGCACTGCCTGGCTGTCCCATAGGACAGGGCCTGGGCCCTCTGAGCTTCACAGGCCTGGACCGC